AAATTGCTTCTATTGCCTGAATAAATCTTCTAGCAAAGCCCATCTGTTCCATTAAAAGTAACATAAATCTCCAATTCACGTTATCAAATGCCTTTTGAGCATCTAAAAATATCAAAGCCATTTGCTTTTCAGGATGCGCCTCATAGTATTCCAGGGTGTCCAGAATTACTCTCATATTGTCTCTGATTTGTCGCTTTGGCAAAAACCCATTTTGGTCTGGGTGGATAAAGTTATTCAAGTACTTTTTAAGTCTTTCTGCTAATATTGAAGCAAAAATTTTATAATCTGCATTTAGTAAAGAAATCGGTCTATAATTCTTGATTTGCAGTAGGTCCGCCTCCTCTTTTGGAATAAGTGTAATGTAAGCCTCTGACCATGTTTTAGGTATCATCTTTTTTAACATAACTTCATTCATAACTTCTAACAGTGGAATACACAGTGATTCTTGAAAGATTTTATAAAATTCTACAGGAAACCCGTCTGGACCTGGTGCCTTTCCATTATTTTGTTTCTTAAGTGCTTGACTTAACTCCATCATTGTCATATTACTTTCTAGCATTTCTTCAATCTCTTTAGGTATCTTAGGTAGATTTGCATTCTGCAGGTATTGTTTAACTTTCTCCTCATCAATGTCTTCTTTCTTATACAAATGCTTATAAAAATCATAAATAATCTCTTTTTTTTCTTTGCTGCCATAACAAATTTTACCTTGGTCGTCTATTAACTGCGGTATTTTCCTCGACTCTTTCTCCTTTCTCAATTTGTATGCTAGCCATCTACCTGGCTTATTTGCATCCTCAAAATAATTCTGTTTAGCATTCCTAATTTTCTGTGCCAGTTCTTCTTTCTCTATTAAGTCCATTTTATGTTTAGTTATATCCAGTTTCATTTTAACATCTTTTCTGTGTGGCATTTTCTGTAATTCTTTTTCAAGTCCCTTATATTCATCATCCAAGGCTTTAAGAGTTCGCCTTTTCCTGTTATTCTTTTTTCTTGTATAGTCTATTATCAAGCCTCTAACATAGGCCTTCATTGTGTCCCAAACATTCTGTATTGAGGTGTCTTCTTTTCTGTTCTCTTTAAAAAAGAAGGCCAATTCTTTCTCCATCCATTGTATAAATTCCTTATCCTTTAAAATAGAATTATTTAATGTCCATCTCGATCTTTTCCTTTGTCCCTTCCATTCAATTGTCAATGGGTTATGGTCAGCCCAAGTACTTGTTTCAATATTTACTTCTTGAATACTAGACATTAAATCTGTTGAGATCCAAATCATATCTAGTCTGGACCATGATAGATGCCTATTTGAATAGAACGTAAATTGCTTAGATTTATCATTTCTTTCTCTCCATATGTCTTTTAAAATTAATTCATCTATCATTTTAAATAAGGATTTAGGAAGAGTTTTCCTGTTATGCTTTACTGTTGTTGCAATATAGTCAAATCTATTATCCACAATTCCATTAAAATCTCCCATCATAATTACATTAGCATAGTCAAGTTCGGCAGTCTTAGTATGTAATTTTCTATAGAATTCTTCCTGTTTATCATTCGGTGCATAAATTGCAATCAAAAGTATCTTTCTATTATTGTCCATTATTTCTACCATTAATATTCTCCCATCATCATCTGTATAAATCATTTTTGCTGGAATGGCCTCTTTAATATATAAAACCACCCCTCTTTTCTTGGATTGTGTCAAAGAGGTAAACAGTTTCCCTAATTTTGGTTGTAATAACAATTGTTCATGTTGCTTTTTAATATGAACTTCTTGTAAACAAATTATGTCGAACCTTAATTTCATTAATTTATGAAAAATCTTCCTTCTCTTAGCAGCTGAATTCAGTCCATTTATATTCATTGTAATCAATTTTTTCTCTTCCATAATTATGTTTTATATTTAGATTTCACCACTCTCATGGGTCTTGCCTCACGTTGATCTTTAATATCCACTTGTCCACCTACTGCACCTTCTTCTTTTCCAACCTCCATTTGTTCCTCTTGGGATTCAATTGATGGGACCTCCTTTCCTGCTCCTCCTTCTCTGCCTCCAAAAACCTCTGCACAAAACAGTTCTGCTTTCTCAATTGAATCAATTCTATGTCTCTGTTCCTGCCACGTAAACATCAATCCTTCTGGAATCAACCACCTGTAAGACACCTCTTTTTCCAATAACCTTTTAGTCAGGAATCGGTATTCTCTTCTCATCTCTCTCACTCTTCTAGGTATTTGTTTTAAAACCAAAATTTCTTTACTTTTGTATTTCAGTGGCTTCTCTCTTGCTACTTGCAATATTTGTGTCTTCAAAGATTTTTTAATAAATCTGATATGAACTTCTCTGGGTAGGTTATTTCTCATCGCATATCTTGTAAAAACTCGATATATCTCATCAATTCCATCCATCATCTTCTCTTCTGTTATCTCGAGCGCCTCCGCCAGAATTCCTACCATTATCGCAACCAAATCTTGTCCTTTTTCTTCTTCTATATTTTGGAATCTAAGATAAAATTCTGATCTATCCAACTCCCACTTCAACATCTCACTTTTTTCTTGTTCAATCGCTGTTAATCTATTGTCAATATTTCCAATTTTCTCCTCTCTTTGTTTGCCTCCCTCTTCAACATTTTGGAGTCTCTCTTCATATTTTTCCATCATCTGTTCCATCCTACCTGTTCTTTGTTCAATAGTATCCATTTTTACCTTAAGATCTTGAATTCCTTGCATAATCATCTGGAAGGATACTCTTTCTTGTTCTTTTTCTTTCTCTTTATCTTGCTTTAACAATGTCTGAATTGAACGCTGTCCAGATGGTGGGGAGGCAGAAGCAGACATAGAGGCACCCGAAGATATAAATTTCTTACTCATTTTGAGTGGTTCCAACTCTTCAAGTTTTTTCAAATTTTAATCCACAAAAAAAAGAGAAAAAAATATGAAATTATAATCCAAGGTAAAAAGGCCAACAATAAAAAAGCCAAAAGTGAGAGAAAAAAAAGAAAAAAAAATTCTTCAAATTCTTCCTGACCTTAGTCCAATAAAAAAAGAAAAAAAAAACCATAAAAAAAAGTAACAGTAAAAATAAAAACCCAATAATAATAATATACAAGACAAAGCCAAAAAGGAAGAAGGGAAGAAGAAAAAGAGAAAAAACAAAAAACAAAACAAAAACCAAGAAAAATAAGTTTCTTCAAATTCCACACCTTAGTCCAGCCAGAAAAAAAAAAGAAAAAACCTCAATTGAAAAAAGGAAAAAGAAATAGTCCGCTGATGTACATTAAAAAAAAAAAAAAGGAAAAAAGAGAAAACAGGATCCAGATAGGCAAAAGAAAAAATAAAATCAGTTAAATCAAAATAAAATATAAGTAAAAAAAAAAAGAAATTCAGAGGCTTCCCTTTGCAAATAAATCAAACTTAAAAGTAAGGACCTTGATGTTAGTGAAGGGGTTGGCAGAACTCAAAAACAACAACAACACTGCACTCTATTTAATTATCCAAGGCTCTAATTATAACTCCCTTCTCTTTCCCACAAGCTTCAAAGCTGAGCCATGTATATCCAGAAAGACACCTGTAATAATATTCCACAAAGTGCTTTCCTCTATCTTATCAGGGGATGTCCTTGAGAAGAAGAGTCTATTTTTTATTTTTTTTTAAATATTTCCGAGCCTCTAGGTGGCAGTGTTACAAAGTATCATAATTCTCACTTTCCCCCCTCCTCTCTTAAGGGAAAGCCGGCTTGCAATACACAAAACAGAAACCGAAAAATCAAACAAAATCAAGAGAAGCCTCTAGCCCAGAAAAAAAAATAAAAAGTCCAGAAGAAGAATAAAACATATGAATATATAGAAAAAAGAAAACAGTCCAGTTATCCAATAAATAACAATAGAGTCCGGAAGCAAAGAAAAGAAAAAAAAAAATGGATTCTCTCTTTGACGTTTCCCTAAAAAAACGCCGCTAAATCAATTTTGTCAAAAAACAAAACAAAAATCACACAGGTTTCTTCAGATAATTAGAGTAAACTTTCAAAATTCAAAAAATTAAATAAAAAAAAGAAGTTCTCACCCAACCGACAAACTCTTTCTCAAACTCTTTCCGTCTGGAGTCGCCCCGGCCTCAGCAGCATGGGGGCTGCCTCTCCGCCGCTGGCAAGAAGAGCTTCACCCGGGCTCTCCAGGGATTTTGCGGTATCCCCGGAATCCTCAGGATATGCTCTTCACGATGGCTGTCCCTACGGGACAGCGTAGGTCCGTTGGACCGGCCAGTGGCGGAGATATCGGCTGCAATCGAGGAGCTCGATTGCAAACCGTATCGCCACGGTGCAAGCTCCTCCCATCTCCCGAGTTTTAACTGTAGATTTTTAATGCTACATACTCTCTCCCAAACTCCGCCAGAAATGAATGCTTGCTAGCGCAGCCTTTTGGAGCAGGATGCCTTGCAGGGTCCCAAAGACTCATTTCTGGCGGAGAAAAAGATTTGGGCTTTTGCTGCTTTCCTTGCGTGCAGCCAAAAGCAGAAGAAAGAAGCGGAAAGGAGCAGCCCGGTGGCCAGGCCAGGCGAATGGGGCAAGTTCCCCCCCTCCGCCCTTCCCCCCCTCTCCTCACTACCTTGTGCTGTTTGCAATGCAAGTGGCGCAAGCCTTGTGTTCCCACGGGCCATGTGGACGGCACAGCCTTGTGTTCCCATGCAACTTGGATTAATTGCTTTGGGGGTGACAGTTCTCTGCAGACCACAAAATTTTCTCACGAACCACCAGTGATCCCCAGCCCACTGGTTGGCGACCACTGATCTAAGAAGTAGTCAGTGCTTTCTTAGGGGAAGATGTACTAGATGACTTCAAGGAGGAACTGATGTGGTTTCTTCTAAAGACGCCTTCCTTGGATCTTTCCTTCTTAGGGATAGCTATTGAGAAAGTGGTGTGGCTTCAATTATACATGCACTAGATGAGGTGTATTATCTGGGCCCTTTTCAGACCCCAAATAGAACAGAAATGATGACTTTGGTGGATTATCTCATAACATGGATAGAGAGAGTGTCCCATCCTTATTGTCTTCTTAAGTGGCATTTTGTAGCATTAATTACGTTATCCTTCTGGATGAGCTGTGAGAGTTGGATATATGTTTTACAGTCGTTCCTCCTACTGACAGCAATAGTGCAAGAAGTTGAACTGAAGTGTGCTCTGTCTAATTCCTAATTTTTAACATGTATACAAAAAGATGCAGGATTAGTATGCCATTGATACCAAACTGTGTCTCTTTGGACAAACCAAAGGTGCAAAATAATTCTTGATCCAGTGCTGGGAGGTTCTGATAACCTGGATGGAAGAAACAAACTGGATGAACTATTCCTCTACAAATCATCACTCTGTTTGCTAAGGTTTTAACCATGAGTGGTGTTCCAACCTCACTGAAGGAGTAGTTTTGTGATTTCTGTGTCCTCTTGTCAAATTTGCAGATAGAAGCTATGACCTTTGCACAACTTCAATTGATAGACCAGCTGCAGCCATTCCTGGAGCAGGAGCCCTAGCAACAATAACCCATGTTTTCCTCATCACAGGATGCACTGCTGGAGCATGGTGTACATGGGGCTTCCTTTGAAGACTAACCAGAAACTGCAGCTAGTACAAATGCAAGTATCCATATGCTGGCAAATGAGACCTGCTGCAGCTGTATAACATTAAGCATTGGCTTTCAGTAGATTTACAAATACTATTCAAAGTAGTGGCTGCAAGAGAAGATACTTATGGGACTACCTTCTCCAGAAAGAACTATTACCTGTTCAGTATGTTCATCCCAGTTGGGGATGCTAAATGTTCCCCATATAGGAGAGATGAGCCTGGATATTTCTGTACAGCACTGAATACTTTAGTCCTCCCCTTGGAAGTCCAGTTTGTACCAACTCTGGTACATTTTTCTAAAACTGCCAAGACCAATCTTTTCTGCAGTGCATTTGATGGGCTGGCACCAGCATATTTAAAACTATTTAGTACCAATTTTAAGTACTTAATTGCACTTTTGGTGTTTTAATTGCATTCTTTTATTTTTAATGCTACTTTTCAATTGCCATGAATTGCGAGATTCAGTAGTGTACAAGCAAAGTCAATATGAATAATTTCAAACAAAGCATTGGGTAAGGACTTGAGTATAATGTTTATATAAACTATATAAAACTATAATTTCCTTTGAGTCAAATTTGCCTCTGGCGACTTCATGGATTATATCCATATAGCTTTTTTTGCAATAAAACAGAAGTGGTCTCTTATAACCTTATGGGAGGGAAATTGAAATCTCCGAGAAGCAGCTATTTGTGAACAGACATATTGGGGTTTTGGTAGGTTACAATGGAAACTAAATTTCCAAAAGCATATTTCATTGGTTGCAAATATTCATAAGATGATGTTGCAAAGACCTGAAGAAAACTGGCTGCACTTTTCAGTTTCTTTAGAAGCTGGATCTTACAGTTCAGTGGCAAGTTGACAAGAAGTCCTGTTAAATGACAAATTCTAGAAAAAAAGTAAAGGCAGATTTGTTTCCCTTTCCATTATTGACCAAGGCCTTTAAAAGTTGTAAAAATAATGTAATGTGAGCTTCATAGAATTATGCTCATAGTACCCCTTACTCACAAGTTGTTCTTATTGTTAGAAAAAGAAATTCAAAATACATCTCCTAATGTATCCTCTGAATATCTGCATTTGGTGCAAAACCAGTATAACTCACTGAGACTTCTCTAATATTGGTTTGATAATTCAAAAACTATAGTAAAATTGGCTTCACATAGTATAAAATACAGAGATCGGCAAAAATAATTGCTGCACTTGTCCTTTTATTCCATTCAAAAACTCAAAAGAAAAATACTGATTTCACTTGCTTGAGTTGTTACAAAAATAATCTTGAAAGTTATTTTGCTCCTTTGGAACTATTACAATTATTACATCTCCTTTTTGTTCTTTTAAGGTATAATACAGTTCTTAAATGCATGGATGTCTGTGGTTGGTTAAAATCTTGCATAATTGTAAGTGCTTGAGCAGAGCTTAAGAAGCAAACCTAAAAGGCCAAGGTCTGACAGACTTGGCCTCTCTTTCAAATACTTTAATTTTTGATTGGGAAGAAGTGGAACATTTTAAATTTTGTATCTTTTGAGGAGAGAGGACTGGCTTTGTTGAGCTTTGCAGTTTAGCTTAATGCATCATCATCGTTATGTATATATGTACAAAACAGGAAGTCCTTTCAGATCATATCAGCAATCTACTTCCTTATATGTACAAAAATAAAGATTACTGAAACAGCAAAGGCAAAAATTGATACAACATAGGCAAGCCCCATATTTTTAGGCCTATCCAATCGTGGGGCACAGGAGGTTTAATAGCTAAGATTGCAATTTCTTCTTCTTTTTTTTTTTTTTTTTGGTATTCCTTCAAGACCCCAAAGCAGATACAAATCCAGATTTTAAGTTTTTTCTGGGTGCTGTAACCATGTCCACAAATGAAATTCCTTTGCAAGGTAAGATTACATTTCCTTATCTTGAAGTGAACTTAGATAATTTTCCCCACAATATATTGCAATGAATGTTGTTCATATTGAAAGGAACAGGAGGTTCTTTATGATTCCAGACCAACCCTATGTTTAATTAAAAAGCTGTCTTTATTAGAGCTGGCAACTCTCTGTACAACTTCACGCTAACTGAACATTAGACAAGAGAGAGAATGCAGATGTGGATCATTTTTCTGAGTCGATTACTGATATGGGCTGTGGCCAGTCTACAGTTGATCAATTAGAGTTTTCCAAATTTCAGAAATCTAGTAGAAGTGCTTTTTATTTGCCATGATTGTTATTTGTTTAGATGGTGCTACAACTCTGGATCTAGGCAGTCAAGCCCTTCAGAGCCTGCTTTGCAGCCTGAAGATCCTGGATCATGGAAAGTCTTTGGACTGTTCACAAAGGGATTGTTTCTAATCATGTATCCATAGGCAGCTGGAAGGTTGGAAGAATAGTGTAATCCAAACTGGAAAATATGAACAGTTAATTGTTGAATAGATGTTATGGAAACTGGAATACAATCAATTGCAATGCATTTGAAATTGGTAGCCAAATGATGAGTCTGGACTATACTGTACTCTGAGATTTATATCTGTGTTTCAGACCAGTTCCTAGAGCGTTCTGTGTTTAAGAGCAAGGGACAATATGGAAACTTTCAGTGTTGATTTTCATCCATTTGTAAAATGCTTATAGGTGAGAGCGCTATAGAAAAAAAAATACTTTGGAAAGATAGTCCAGGTTTGTGGAGGTCAGTCGTCTGGTTGAAATAACAAACATCTATGGACACAGTGCATTTATTGCTTTCAATAGAATGGCACTGATCTCTGAAATAAAAGAAAGGAGGCCCCTATTGCCTTTTAAGAAAAACACTGAGTGTTTTTACACCAACAATCATTTGTTTTATTAGGAAGTATAGGTTGTGCTTTTACAAACATACAACATTGATGTAATGATTCAATAGGCAAGAACTAATAACCGTTTTACCTATTCTACAACTGTTCTTCTCTAGGAGATTGTTTTATTTGATTGAGTCTCCATTTGTTAGTCCTCCTTCAGGTACCAGTTCGGAAGGTCAACAGCAAATTCCTTGGAGCTGTCTGAGTTTGGTTATTTGCTTGCAGATGTTTCATTACCCTATTGGGTGACATTACCAATCAAATAGTTTCCTTAGCATTAGATGACACTAACTGTCTATCAGTAATTGCTTCTTTAAGTGTCTCCATCCTTTTGCTTTTATCCCTGTTGTATCAGTGATACAAGAAGATCTAAAGCTTTACATAGACCTAATGTCCATCACTGAGTTTTTCAGTTAACTACACGAACACTTCCAGTACTCAGTGAATATTACGGTTGTCTCTGATATGCAAATATTGAAAAATTAGGAGTGGTTGTTTATCCTAACTATGTATTTGGAACAGAAGTGATGGGAGCTGGACTTGTTGCCAGGTGACTTCCAGAGTACAAGCCAAGGTTATCTTTGATATCTGATAACTATATTTTCCATGTGGAATTTGCCCATCCAATGGAGATAGGGGTGGATCTTCTTGATAATGCCTCCTCTTCTTTGGAGCAGCTTACCCCTAGAGCTGAATTCATCTTTTATTATCATGGATAATTACTTTATTATTATTCTAAAGATCTTGCTATTTAAAGGAGCCTGTGGAGAAGGAAAGGAAGACTTGAATGTTCTCTCAAAGAAATGATCAAGGAATTATTGTATGATTGAAATTATTGGGGTTCTTTGTTTTGGTGGTGGTGTGTGCATGTGCGTGTGAGTATCTGTGCACGTGCTATGTGGTATACTTGTAATAACTTTACTTAAAATACTGAGTTTTTTTAAGCAGTCAGTCGACAGATTGCAGTAGCATAGAAACCTTTATAATAACTAATTCAGTGAAATGGGGAAGAACTAAAGCCAAGTGGCTCTGTGATTGGTTAGTCTACTGTCCAAATTCCAGTAACTAACAGACAATTTCAGAACACTAGTTCTGCCTTCTTATAGTCTTATGGGTGATAGAGGACTATGATTCTACTGAACCTCTTAGAAGAATTATGAAAATTATATATAAAATGATTTAAAACCATGGACCATATAACATCTTATTCTCAAATAATTTCTAGTTTCTTCTCGCTCTTAGTTCATTGGACTGCTTTACAATAATAGGCCAATTATTTGTCATAGAGAAAATATGTACTTCTTTATGGCCTCAGTTAGTTTATTTAATTATGAATAATATTTATAGCTTTCAGAATTCTAGGCTGTATACAAAAAAAGCATACACATAAAGGAAAAAAAGAACTGTACAGCATTTACATTGTTAAAACCCCTAAACCCTAGGGGAAAAATCTCATAGGTGATCCAATGACTGAAGTTGCTTTGAGGACCAGTCTGATGAATCATCACTGCTTTATGGTAGGGGTCATCCATACCTCTAAGGGCAGAGTGTTTCAAAGAAAGGAGACTGCTATTGAATAGACCTATGTCTGGTCCACGATGTCCCATGTAACTTTCAAGGGACCTGCCACAGAAATTTTCTTGAACACTGAACAGGCAGATTCAATTCTTTGAGGCACCCTGAGATCAAATTACAGCAGTCAGACTTTAGGGATGAGGTTGGGGAGATTTGAAGGGCGGGGACGGAAGTGGTTTGACTCCGGGATGCTGCTTTTTCTGTCCTAAAACCTCTAATAAACACCCTCCAAAATTTTGACATTTATGAGATAAATTTTAGTGAATCTGCAGAGCATCAGGAAACCATATTGTGATTCCCAGTCCTTCAAATATTGTCCACTTTTGCCTAAATATACCATATTTTTCGCTCCATAAGACATTCCTGACCATAAGATGCACCTAGGTTTAGAGGAAGAAAACAAGAAAAAAAAATCTGCCTTTGTCTCCCAGCGTCCATATGGTATTCATCTGGCTAGTGTCCTTGCAGCAAACTTCAAGGAATGCTGGAGCCTTCTCTTCCCAGCAGCTGATCAGCTGGAATACCACCGATCAGCTGTTCCAGGCAGTGATTGCTGCTGCCATTCACCGCTGCTGCCTGTTGTCCATATTCGCTCCATAAGACGCACAGACATTTCCACCCATTTTGGGGAGGAAAAAAAGTGTGTCTTATGGGAGCGAAAAATACGGTATTTCATAAAATAAGATTAAGATAAGTTTAAAAGACAAACCCAGTGAAAAGCACAAATGTTTCCATTCGGTAAGTGTACTGGGTATGGCCCTGCCCCTGTTATCCCTCTTCCTCAAACTGTTAAGCCCTTGAGCACCCGTTGCCATTCTTGATGAAATTGGTCCTGTGACATTTTCCATTAAATGATACCCTTTAATTCTGGCCAATAACAGAAAGGATCTCCTCGGGGTCCTTGAATGAATGATTTTAATTTTTTTTGGAGCAGTTTAGAAGTATGGTATATGATTTTTGAATACTCAGAGTTTATTCCAGAACTCCAGAATCCTGCATTATATTTCCAGGTATCTGTTTTTCCATGTTTACAATTTCCAGGTATCTGTTTTTCCATGTTTACAATTTCCAGGTACCTGTTTTTCCATGCTTTTATTTGTGGTATTCTTGTTTATCATCTTGTCATCTTCTGTTCTTGCTTCTTCAGTATCAGCCAGACTTTCACAAGTGTCCTCTCCACAGCCAGGCTGCCCATCTCCTTCTATTCCACCAGGTAAAATCATCTCTTCATCTCAGAAGCACAGCAAAAAGGCACTTAAACAAGTAAGTGGGTGAGCAAACTGATTTGTTTATCTGACCTTTAGTTTGTGCTTATCTGCACGTTACTTGGCACTAAAAACCTAACCTAACTTTATGTTAAATTTGCTCTGCACCTTGCTCTAATTTACATTCTGCTAAAAATTCTGCATAATTGAGCACATGGATACAAGGATAAAAGTTAAGTAGAATATATGTAATAAAATAAAGCTTCTATTCAAACTGTACCCATGGAAGAATGGGCAATTTTTCTTAGGATTTTTTCCATAAAACTTTAAATCACTTTTTTGTGGAAACGACAACCAGTAGGATGCTAGATTTCTTTGCATTACTATCTTTGTATCTGGCTGAAAAAAACTCAGTAGGCTTTAGCTATTGGCCAGTTAGCTTGAGCCTATTGAGTTAACTAATTGAGTTAGCTAATTCATTCAGTTGCAAAACAGCTGTAAAGTAATAATTATTGCTTTATCCTTGGCTCTCATGTTTTTCCAAAATAAAAATAAATTATAATTGTCCTTGGTTTATTTATTGCTTAATTTCAGTTGCCCTGTTTACTTTTTGTCTCATGCATCAGGTGATAGTCCTCTGGCGGCTCTGTTTGTTCTGGCCCAAAATGCCCTAGCATTTTCTTCATATTGGTCTGTTTTTTCCCCATTCTCTTATTTTTTTCACAGTGATTAGTTCTTAAGATAATCACATTTTCAACATAATTTGCTGAATGTTTTTCTTAGCCTTTGAAATTTGCTTGGATTTTTCTCTAGAGGATATTTTCTCTTTTGACTGTGATTTCTCCTAGACTTCCTTTCCCTTCCTTTACTTGGTGTTTTGCAGAAATATTGAAACAGTCATTTTTCTTTTAGGAGGGTATCTCATTCTGTCAATACAATACAATACTTTTTTCTTTTCTTTTCTTTCTTTTCTTTTCTATGTTTTCTTTCTGTATCTCTAACTTCAGAATAGAATACAGGGCAACAGAGTTGGAAGGGACCTTGGAGTAGACACTATACAATTTCACACAAATGGCTGCCCAATCTCTTCTTCAAAACCTCTAGTGATGGAGCATTCTCAACACGGAGAGTTTTCATTATAATTATGAACTGTATTTATTGCAGGGCCTATATAATATAATGTAACATATTATTTCCTTACATTCCCCTTGAGCAATTGCTCTATGTCTATATGGGTCAGATTTGTTCATACTTTCTAGAAGATATCTATGTTTTGAGGAAGGTATTTGTAATTATGATGATGCCTTGGGTATTATCTGGATACTGGGAAATTATTTTGAGAGTGCTCATTAATCATTAATGAAATCAGATTATCAGATTGCAACACTGTAAGATAAAATATTTTGCCAAGTATCAAAGGAGGAAAATTTTCCTACTTCTAAATATTTAACATAAGTATTAATGTCTTTGATAGCAAGATAAAATCTGTTGTCTGCAAATTTGATAACAGGAAATTTATGTCAAAATTATTTTGCAGTCTTCTGTCTCATTTGTTATATAAAAATAAATCAGTAGGAGACAGAATATCCATCTTCAGTAAAGTGCAATATGTAATAATTGGTAATAGAACAGTAGCCCTACTAGCCACCCATTTCTACATCTCTGCAGGCTTTCCTGAACAAGGAATTCTGCACTACTGTATAGACTTTTCAGCTTGAGAAACTCCTGTATAATGAATTGCTTTCACTTTCTTATTAGGCCTTGAAGCAAAAGCAAAGGAAGCAGCATCATTGTCGAACCAGTGTGCCTGTGTCAACTAATCACCACCTCCTACAGCAGCATATGAAGATTCCAAACCATCCTGCAAAAGCCGGTATTGCTCATTATTTTCCTCAGCTCATCAGCTCATCACCCTTGACCAAGGGTGGGATACAACAGGGTTAACTACCGGTTTGGGATTTACGAGCTTCCCTGCATGCTGAGAGCCGCATGCCTGTAAATTGTCATCAGCATGCTGGGTGCGGAGAAGCAGCCTTTGAAACAGCCCTCTTTTCCTGCTTTTTTAACTGTAGCTGTGCCTTGTTTGGCAGCTGAAGTTGAAAAATCAGGAAATGAAGATCAGGTAAGAGCCCAGGTGGGCGGGTGGGCAAAAACATCAGTAGGCATAGAACCGGTTCTATGTCTGCTGCTCTTCAGAGCTACCGGTTCTACAGAGATGGACAGAACCGGTAGAAATCCACCCCTGCCCTTGACCTCTGATGACAAGAGGTCCAAGATTGGCTAATATTTAATTAGCCTACTGTAACCAGAAGACTCTCGAAATAAGGCAGTGGTTAATTCTTTTTGAATGAAACTCTCCTTCTTTCTTCTTCTAGGCCATCTAGTTCACTATTAAGTTTCCACAATGGCTAATATATATTGCTAATTTATCATATTACATTTTAATATTGATAATATTATATTTTTAAAATTAATATCTTTATAGGCACCAGCAGCACACTGTAAATTCTCTTGTTTAACTATATGCTGTGTATAGAATCCCGTGCAGAATACTTCTAAGACTGATAGACTCTAAGAATACTTCTAAGACTGATAGAACAACTTCTAAGATTGATAGACTCTTATCAAGCAGATACTTACTTTATGGCAACTTCCAATTCAATCATTACTACTAATAGCACATGCACTCAGAAACCACAAATAATTTGTTATCTATCCTTTTTATTTGTTGTGCCTTTGCATATTGCTACAATACATATTTCATATAGATAACTAGTAGAAATCTAAGGTTTCCAAAAATTTGAAAGAAAATATTAAATCAGCTGCTGAACAACTAAAACTAGATGGTATTTCATTTGATTAAAACAATTAAGTTTAATTATTCTTTTCCTTGCAGCTTGGGAAGGAAAACAATCAGATGGACATTCAAGTAGCCCACAGAATTCTACTTCTAGTTCTTCTCCCTCTGTTAAAACTGAGCCTTCCTTGCCAATCCTTGGGAAGAAACCATTCCAAAGATCTGAGAGGCTCCATGCACGTAAGACAACAGCTTTCTTTAAAAAAAAAAAAAACCCTGCCTGATACTTTTATCAGGATCAGAAACTTACAAATATTTTATTTATTGTTATTTTGAATAAAATAATAAAATAAAATAAATAAAAACCATTTGAAAATGTATTTCATAATTCATTTTTAAATTTTAATGCTTCAGTTGTTCAAGAAAAAAACAAAAATGGATTGGATAAGTTTAGAAAAAAGACCTTTGTGTCTGTATATGTGGGTGGTTTTTTTTTAGTTTTCTATTTCCTGCTAAAAGAGCTAAATGAATAACCAGAGTTTTTACTTGATTGGGTTTACGTCATGTGGGTCTCTGTTTGAGATAACATTGCTGTGTAGCTTATCTAAAACCAGTGAATTTTACTGTATATTCTGGATGAAGCTAGAAGCAGTCACTACTTTTTAAAAATGTGTCATATATGAAGTATTTAATGGTTGGATTAGCCTTAGTCTAAGTTAGTCTAAGCTTATATGTCAGCTTTCTTTCTAGTAAGAAGTATTCAAGGCATCTAAGTACAAATGGAATAGTAAAATAAAATATTAAAATTTACCAATAACGGTAAGAGAGTAAAATAATTGAAATTTCAGTATATTACAAGTGAAGACAGTCCCAGAAAAATCTTGTAGGATCTAATCTGGATCAGTCACTGGGATCAGAGGTTTTAGTCTTCTGAGGGAACTTCTCTCTATTGGAATGTATGCTTTGGGCTATTCTACGCATAGAATATTTATAATATACGATGCATGTGTTTGTAATATTCTATACATATCATTTGTAATAATATATCTATATAGGCAATTCAGTCATAGGTGGCAAGATCTTCAATCTATTGAATAAATGGAGCCATACTTTTATCTTTCTGATGCTGCAATGTCAGTCTTTTAGCCATTGTAAGGGCACAAAGAATACATTTTACTATGAATACTATTACTGAAGCAGCATCTGAGCATTTGTAACAAAGAAGAACTATGCCCTTGCTCTGATTTGTTTGTTGCAAGTGCCCAGATGCTGCTTCAGATAGAAATATTAATTATAATATCCTAATAAAGAATTATGTAATTTTCATTAGAAGTGGACAGAATGTCTATGGAGATTCTCAATCATCCAGGTCATGATTGTCCCAAAAGTGCTTTTCCAAAAGGCAATTAGATTTTCTTGGCTTTTTCCCTGAAGACATTTTGCTTCTCATCCAAGAATTGAAGAAGCTTCTTGGATGAGAAGCAAAATGTCTTCAGGGAAAAAAAACCAAGAAAGTCCATCTGCCTTTTGGAAAAGCACCTTTAGGATTGGTGTACAGAATGTTGGAAAATTGAAATGCTTTGTGTTTGAAGTTCTCCTTTTTCTATTTTGTTGTCAGGGTGAGATTTTCCAGCCTCGCAGAAAGTATTCCAAGCTCAAATATTTTGTAGTCATATTCCTGATACCTTTTCTCATCTCTGGTGAAGGATTACGATGTAGTATATCTGAAATGCGTTGAACAGAAGCAGTTTTTAGAAGTTACACATAAGTAGCACTTCAATAAGCTAGAGTTCTGGCATCCCTTGAGATTTCACTGACTTAGTTGTGGACTTTGAGAGGTGCCTTCCATCTTATTTCCTTTAACATTCTTTCTGTGTAGTAGAAAGAAAGCTGTCCTGTAACATTGACCTATTTAAAAAGATTTGTCAAATGGAGTGGATTTCCAGGCTCAAGTATCAGTCCTTGGAAAGGGACTTTCCCATTCCTTATGAGAAGCAGAAATAAAATGGGTAGACCTCTTCTTCCTAGTAATGATCTTTGGTTTCTTTTTTTCTTAGGGCAGCTGAAGAGAACAAAATGTGCTGAAATTGATGTAGAAACCCCAGAATCCATCTTGGTGAACACCAATCTGCGAGCTCTAATCAACAAGCATACATTCATGGGACTACCAGTTGAATGTCAGCAGAAGCTGCTCCTGCTCCTTCCAGAGGTGGACAGGCAGGTGTGTGTCCATGGAGGGAAGGGAGGAAACAGGTCAGGGGACAACTTTTCCCCATCGTTTTAGATAACAGGGCTATTGTGCAGAACTTAGGCTGTGTAACAGTATAGGCCCAAGGTTCCCACTACGCAATAAATTGGTCTTCTGTGTTAGCAAATGGGTGTTCAGTTTGTGAAACTCACCTTGTTTTCTGCTTCCTTGGCTCAAAATTAAAATCATCCCTTTTCTTATTGTTGATGTATCATCAAGAATGGACTCTCTATTGGCTCCCTGTGGTAGTTTGGAGCTCTGTAAAAGGAAGCTGTCTTTTTTTAGGCACCTGGTTCTCTAATATTGGCATTTTTAATGAGAATAAAAGTCTTAACCGTCAATACTTTTACTGTGGTTCGATTGTGGCATTTAGTGCAAAGAAGAGCAAGGCCACTTTGAGAAGCTTGCCAATATGTGTATATTTTCTTCTGTATATTTTCTTATATATATGCAATATGCAAAAGCACTGTTGTTCTATGTTGTTTCATCCATTTTTTTCCCCAGTTCCCAAAGTCTCTGCACAAATAAACAATAATTCTCAAATCATTTATAAGGCAAAAGAGACTAAAAAGTAGCCTATCAGAGACTCTCTTACCCTAGAAAGATAAAGTAAAGCAGTTCCTTCTTTTAGGCCTTTAGGATTAACCCATCGCTTTATCTGCCTGATTTTATGAATTCCTGGAGGAAGTGGAGTACTTGGCAGTATATTTTTATTCACCCTACCCCATTTGTCTTTCAGATTGGAATGGATGGCTTGATGAAGCTCAGCAGTTCTGCCCTCAACAACGAATTCTTTAATTCGGCTGCGCAAGGATGGAAAGAGCGACTGTCGGAAGGTGAGGACATTCAGAGGCAGGTTCTTGAGGTTTCTGAGGATGTTTCAGTGGGGTTGGTGAGAATGAACAGATTTTTACTGAAAGAATTACTTTGTGCAAAGAAGCACAAGACCAGAGCTATAAACGAAATAAAAATAACCTCCTTTGCCACTTCTAAGGTAGGAATATTAGTGACTTTTGAAAAGATGTTTGACATGTTCAGGAAAGTCAGTGCAGCAAAGAAAAGGCAGACATTTCTGTATCTTGCTAACTTCTTTCCTTCCATTCTGTGTGTGTGGCAGGGGAGTTCACTCCAGAGATGCAGCTAAGACTACGGCAGGAACTAGAAAAGGAGAAGAAAGTGGAATTTTGGAAAGAGCACTTCTTTGAGAGCTATTATGGTCAGAGGTAAGGATTTAACCTGCCTTCCCTGCTCAACATGCCGTTTTCTCTTCTTTCTGAGACTTTTGAGCTGATGGTATGTGGGCCTGAACTCTGAAGTGTACAGCTGCACCGAAGACTGCTTTGGAGGGATGCTTTGTTTTGTATTGCACCATTCAGAAATGAATTTTCCAAATAGTCAAAGCATTTTAAATATTTGATTCCAGAAATACTTTAAATAAGTTTGGAAAGGTGCCTAATATTTCAGATGAAGGTTGAAAAAGCAGTCTCTTGAGCAGAATGTCCACAGCTGAGATTATACTAAAAGTGGATCTTCTCTGCTCACAGAATGTTCTGTTGGCTAGGGCAGTGCAGATCTCTGCTGTATTGGTTTTTATAAGGTATATGGATCCCAGGATTGGAGCTCATCGTGCCATTCCAGTTTCAGAGGGAGGGAAGAAAGAACTTTCAGCCATTTTAAAGGAAGAGGTCTCCACCGCTTGCCTTAAGGCCAATTAGTCTCTTCTCCTTTAATCTACTATGTCAGCTTTGGTCCTCCTCAGTTACTGCTTTTCATAATGAAGAAAAGTTCCCTTCCCTTGACAATCAGTTGATTATACCGATTCATTCTCTCCTTCATTCCCAACATAGCTATTGCTTTTACCCATTCCCTGGGTTTCATAAATCATCCCAACAACATATTAACCCACAACACAAAAACTAGCCAAGATTAACATCTTAGTGTGTTGTGTAAATGTACCTACTAGGTATTGATTTGACCAAGGTACATCTGTAACAAGAACCAACCTATTCCTATTCTGACAGGCTTCAAGATTTGAATACTTCTTGTTTCTCTGTGAAAAGTTGGCACTTTCAAAAGATTTCCTTATTGAATGACACTCTCTGCTTGTTGAGAGGGGAACAATTGTCCTTTATCTTACCAATGTCTCTGCTTTCTCTTTCTATCTTCTAGTTCTGGGCTTAGCCTTGAAGAGTCTAAACAACTGATATCTTGTATTCCTACTGTTCAGAATCAAGCACAGACTGGGAATCTAGCACCTCAGTTACAGAAATGCATAGTAGTCCATAAAGCAGTATCTGACAAAGAACAGACCAATTCTCTGATGGGTCCAAAAGTACACGTTCTCCCAGCTATAACAGCAGCCGCTAAAGGAGAGGAGATTGAGCAACCCAAGGTCCTTAAGCCAGAAGAGCTTTTAAATTCTTCTGGCAACATTGCCTCCATCCAGAGTAGCAGCCAGATTCCTCAGAAGATTTCCAAGAGAGTTGAGGAGCCAGAAGAGGTGACACCACAACCTGCTTACCTGGAGTCTGTGGTGAGACAAAATCCAAGCAAACCAAAGAATGCAGCCATTGCTGGTACTAAACCAAGCCCAGAAGTAGAATCTCAGGAGATTTCTGCAAAGGAGGTTCCTGCCACTTGCACAGAACAAATGGACACTGGAAGCCGGGCTTTCAAGAGAAAATCAGAGATTCCTGAAGAGGCACTGATGACACCTGAAAAACAGCTCCACGTGACAGAAAAGTGCCCCACCAGGCCGCCTTTTCAGGCCCCACTGCAGTGCTTTCCCATCGCGCCTACACCAAAAGTCCCTCCACTCAGGGTAAAGGAACCATATGTGTTAAGTTCATTCTGTTATGACTTCTGTAGGCTGATAAAGTCCTTTATCCAATTTCCGCATTGTTCTACATTTCTATTTTGAAAGTGAAAGAACACCTGTCACTGCAGTTTGCTGGCTGGCTGAATGTCTGTAAGCAAATGAGAGTGAGTTGAGCTCAGTTTGAGCAATTCTGAACAGGGAGATTCAGCCCAAGAGTGTTTGAATGACATCCTAACTTTCACCACAGATAATCTCACTTTAAGAGGGATCCTGTGGTTGAAGAGGAAGGAGTCTAGATCTTGTTCTTAAGCCAAGCCATTTTGAGTGGCTTAGTTTACTTCAGGGATTACCTGTGTAATTTCTTTCATACACCAATAATTAATTAATTAGTTAGTTAGTTAGTGGGTGAGCAAATGAACGAACAAAATAAATAATGGGAAGTTACCAGCACTAAGGTTGATGAATTAGTAGTCTAAATTTTTGCTACTGCACCTCCTTTTTTTCAGAAGGAGGTACTTACTATTCAGTTTAGCAGCCTCTTGAAAGAATAGGTGGGCATAAGAGAATTCAATGTATTCAATTTGATCTGTCTGCCAACAAAACGGTGAGTGTTTTCGTTGGAAACTCATCAGACCCATTTTGCCTTGTGTCTCTTGCTTTGCTCCAAGGTAAGAAACATGAGTAAGAGGTGCTTTACCTTCCAGTTTATTGATGCGCTTTCCTCTTTTCCAGATCCACGTCTCCAGAATCCAAGGATCTCCAGCATTACTGTCTGCTAGCCAGGTCTCTCCCAGGCCCCCCTTCCCAATCATCAGGAGAACAGGGGCCAGGACTTTGGCCGACGTCAAAGCCAGGGCTAGAATGGCCAGGGCCCAGCGAGCAGCTGCTGCAGCCGAAGCAGCCGCAGCAGCCTCCATTGCTACTACTTCTGCCTCCATTGTGGAAGCCATCCCAGGGCCGGGGCCCGGAGGGGGGAAAGGAGAGGACAAGAGCAGTCCACTCTCAGGGAGGCCTCAGGGAGCTACATTGGACATGGCAGACTTTGGAAACAGGACAAGTCCAAAAAGGGTTTTCCCCTCTCGCCCAGCCCCTTCCTCCCCAGCAGACTCCCCAGCTCCAGAACCAGCAGCAACAAGCAGTGCTGCTAGAGCACAACTACAGCCGGCTCCCCCAGCACAATCCAGAACTGCAAGCAGCAACCCAGAGGTGGAGAGTGCGTCGATTTCACAACCAGCAATAGGGAGTGTCAGCTGTACAAATCCCAGCCTTTTGACTGTGCCTGCCACTCGGGATGTCACAGCTTCTTTGGGGTCAACAGTTGATCTTGCTTCCATGATGGAGAAACTTAGAAATAGCCCTCTTGCTCTTAACCAGGTTACAAGAACATCCAGTGGCTTTGAGCCTGGAGTGAACTGCAAAAGTATATCGAAAACAGCTTCTACCACCAGCACAGGTGTTTCAGAAGACAAAGCCAGGGCCTTGCTTTCTGTATCTCCTGTGTTGGCTGAATCCATCAAGGCACCCCCTCTGCTTTCTTCTCCACGTGGCACTGTGCCCATGTCCACCTTATCTCCTCCTTCCTGTAACACTTTGTTGGTAGCCCACAGCCCTAAAGTGCCCCCAGGCTCCTCAGGTTCAAATGGAAGTAGCTCTGCTGTAAAGTCCAGCTCCAGTATACCTGCTAATAATCCCCTGGTGGCTCAGCTGCTACAAGGTAAAGAAGTCCCAATGGAGCAGATGCTCCCAAGGCCTCTGACAAGAGTTGACATTAAGTCTATTGCCGTGCCTGTGAAGGAAGGCAAAGCGACCACAATTGTTTCCAGGTCTGGCCCTCCAAGGGAAGGGGAAGGACAGCTGCACGTGGCTTTCCCAGCAGGTGGGAAGCCAAGCCTTAGTCACTGTGGACAGTCCCAAGATCCTCCACCCTTCTCCTCTTTATCAGGGCAGGACTTGTGGAGCCAACCTACAGACCTCCACAGTAGCCAGGAAACTTTAGGCAAGAGTGCCCAAGAACATATTCTCCAGACTGTCATGCGGAAAGTCCCTGTGCAGAGCCTCCCTACTGCTCCTTCTCCCCCTCCACGTCTCCCCCTCCTCCCCCCACATTTCCCAGTAGAGAGCAGCTCCGCCAGCCAAAGTTTCACACTGGGATTCATAGGGAGAAGGACATTCAAGCCTGCCATGTCTGGCCATTACCTCCTGAATGTTTCTACCTATGGACGCTGCCCAGAGAACCTAAGAAGAAACCTTGCCGTGCCCCCAGAGGAGCCCCCAGAGAAATTGGAGGAACAGAAGCATACATCTAAAGATGAGAGTAACATTAGCGGTGGTGAAGATGAAGGGTTCAGAGATGGCAACGTGACTGAACATGCAACAGCACATCTCAAAGTTAAAGAGGAGTCTCTGGCTCCAGGAAGAGGAAGAGGGAGACAGGCAACCTCAAATGTAAAAGTGGAGCAGGCGGCAATAAGCCACAAGGATGGAAACATTTGCTTATTCCCAGCAGGTCAAGACTATGCTGAAAACAATGCAGCAAAAGATTTTATTCAGGCTGCCCAGGAACAAGTGGCTCAGACAATTAGAGGAGAAAGGAGGTCTTGCAGTGGGGAACTTCAAACCTGTGCTCCAGCAAATGTTACCCCACAGCGGCCCCTGCTGCTTTCACCCTCACCCTCTCCTCAGCTCTTTGGAAACCCTACTCCTACGCAACTTATTGGGCCAGGCTACAGCGGCACAATTAATGTGTCCACTTCTCCAGACATGCATCAGGATACTCTCCTGACTGGACTGTCAGACCCCAGCCACATGGGGGATGTAGTGTCCTTCTCTGTAACTGTAACCGCTATCCCTGCTGGCCACTCAGCAAATACTGGTAGCCATGGACAAGCTCTCCGTGGCCAGGCTTTTGTGGAAGGTGGTGGCTTGGAGGACTTGCCCACAAAGTGCTACTGTCGCTTGAAAGCCATGATTGTGTGCAAGGGCTGCGGGGCCTTCTGCCATGATGACTGTATTGGCCCCTCCAAACTCTGTGTTTCCTGTCTCGTTGTGCGGTAGCAGGTTTGCTAGATGGCATCTCATCTAGGGAGCAGGAGGGGCATGCTGCTGAGTCAAGAGTCCCTGTCCTTATGCCACTCCACGTCTCCTTGGTTTCCTTGAGAATGAAGAAAGCACCTTGGATGAATGGCTGAGCCCAGTGGGACAAGGGTGTGCACTTAAGGAATCATGTAAATATGTTGCATTGTTTTGTCTTAAAAGATTATTTTTTCCGACCTTGAGATAAATCTATGGATGTGAATCTCATGCTCATTTTGCCTCTTGTCCTATAGTAGCAGAATTCTGACCCAGTAAGTCCCTCTTCACCTTCAGTGCCCCTGTTTCCCATAGGGCCAGATTTGTCTCCACCTTGCTATCATTGTGGCCTCCGTGTTTTTCTTGGAACGGGCTTGCCAAATGTCCTATTGAAACACAGTGGTTGAGACTATTACATCTGCAGCCCTAAGCAACAGGAGGTGGGCAGATAGCCTATCGTCCAGTTGAATTTTGTAGCGTTGCTGTTTACAGTAAATAATACTTCTTTACCATATAAAATCACCTTGAGGAGAGGCAGAGGCAGTGTACTGTAGATCATCAGAATTTGCAGAGCAAAATGCATGGGGGATGGTCAGTTTATAGCTCTGAATTAACCAATGACAGCAATGATGATTTCTATTTTCTTATATGATATGCTTAGCCTTTGAATTTCAATCAAGATATACAGCAGCACAAACTCTTTTTGGTCCCAGGCTCTAGATTCCCATTTTTTCAAGAAGAAAAATGTCTTGGTGAGTTAAATGTTGTAGAATAGAGTGGAAGAAACGTTTCAGATTTTTTTTAACATCAAGTCATAACTTTGGGTCAGCTTGTCAGCTTCTAGAATCAGCTCTGACTCAAACAATTGAAGATTTCAAGCTGGAAAAGATAGTGGGACCTTGTTATTCCCTTGTAAATATTCTTCAATTTCACACTAAAGATGTGGAGCATTATATTTAGAAGCAGAATGGATCCTGCTCAGAATCACCACTTTTTTTTAAAAAAAAAGAGTTTCTGGACCTGGATTTCACTTATAGAAGGAAGGGCATTTCCTTGGAATTAATTGTAATGACAATGATGGATGGAACAAGTTTTTTAGGATGGAAACTGAGACATAGACAATTTGTTCTTCTCTTTCTGACACCTTTTTTTTTTGAGCTGTTCCCTTGCCCTCTCCTACCTGTTCATTTCTATTGCCAGAGACTCAAACTAATTGCTTATTAAGAGCGTTTAAGATTAGGCAGTAATTAGGTTCCATACTCTTGATTTATAAAATGTACAGAGCTATCTTTTGCCTTGTCAGGGTTGTGCCAAGATAGCTCTCAAAGCATGGCAGAATTTCAATGTCTCCTTCACTCTTAAGACTACTAGGAAAAGACTAAATTATGGAGGTTTGATGAAATCAGCATAATTTATTCCAGCTGCATATTCTACTTTTTGTGAGGCCGATTTACACTGAGTTGGATATACTTAGAGTGTCTGCAGCTCTGTTCTAGATCTCCGCTGTAGTTTAATAGCATATAACTACAGAGTTGTAATTGGCCATTTGGGATCCTGTCCCCAGTTAATGTGCAGGTTTTGGGTTGAAATACCACCTGTTGAGTAATTGGAAAATCTACCAAGTCAGAGATAAATAAAGAGAAGAACAAGCTTTAGCAGGGTTAACTTAATGTAGAATATTTAGATAAAGAGTAGGAAAAGATAGTTTAGCCATGGTACACCGCTCCATGCAAGTTGAACTATATCATTTCCAGTTTCCATCTTTCATTCTAGATAAAGTCAATATTGACGTTTATGGATTGAGACAGTTTCACCATTAACCTTTTGAAAAATGTGTTAAGGCACCAGACTAGAAATCAGGAAAGCAATGCTAGTCCCGCCTTAGACATGAAAGCTAGCAGGATGGCCATGGGCAAGTCATACACACTTGGCCCAGTTCACCTCAGAGGGTTGTTGTTGTGGGGAAAATAGGAGGAGGGAGTTTTAGATACATTCCCTGGTTTGAGTTATTTACAGAAATAATAAAGGTGGGATAAAAAAAGAGAGAATGGCTTGGAAGAAAGCCAAGGACTCCATTACCTATTTCAGCAAGCATTGCCCATTTCTATTATTCATCATAGAAATATCACATTACAATGACTGCTATAGGAATCACTTTCTCATGACTTTAAGTCGTGATCTGGCCTTCTGTTTTTAATAACAGTCTGCCAGATATTTCCCAGCAGCCTATTGACAGAGTATAGAAATCAATTGTCTTTCAAGTTCCATGTGCCCCCAAGACAGCAACTCTTGGATAGGCCTATTCTCTTCCCTGAATTTGTATTATACCTTGAAGAAGGTATCAAAGGCATTATCACATTTTGTATTGGTCAGTCCTATAAATTAGCCATTTATTTTTTTGCATGTTCTACATCTACAGTATTTATACAGCAGTATCAGTCTGTATTGTTCTTTTACACATAGGTAAAAACACATCAATGTGTCTTGTGCTTTACATAGGTAACATATACAGTCAATAAGGACCAGGAAGAGAACAAAATGTAGGTAAATTCAATTACGCAAGACTCATCTTTATATTAAGTATTAAAGTAAATAAGTTAGACGGCATGAATTTCTAGGGCTTATTTTACTTTTTTACCCCTTACAGCTGCTGCTGTTTCTAAGAAACCAGCCATATTTTTAAGATTTCAGTGGCAAAAGGAAAACTGTAGTCTTTTGGTACTTTGACTATCTATTTGGCAACTTTTCCTGGCATCCAAAACATCCAGATTAGGGTACACTAAATTATCATGGGCCTACCCTTCATTTCAGACCTTTTCCTAATATGAAATTAGCTTCTCTTCATAATCGATGTACAGTTTTTGGATTTTCATTAAGCTATCAGGATTACCTTAGGATAATTTTTCCACTTAGATCTTATCAGATTCTGTAACTCTGTTACAAAAGTATTTTTAATCATTACTTTTGCTTTATGCCCCCTGGTCATTTTTTAGCTCATTACAGCTACATTTTTTCTCTCCTGAATTTTTTGGTATTACCTAAAAACTCAAGCAATTTACTCTTCAGCCATAACTAATCGGGGAAACAAATGCAGATTATATAAAAACATATTAAAAAGTGCAAACTCTGGGGAGTTCCTTTATTTACATTTGTCAAATTTGTTTATACTTACTGTCTACTTCCTGCTCTTTTACCGAATATTAATCCACTAATGGGATCTTACTTGTGATTATTGACTTTTTCAGCCCTTCATTTTTATGTACAGAAGATCTTTGCTACCAGATGCTGATGCTTTTCAACACTCCAAATATTAGTAAATTGAACTTTTCTCGTCAGAAACCATGTTTATTCTTCCTCAGCAATTTTTTATTATTGTAGGTAGTAGTGCAAGCTTTCATAATTAACTGGAAGAAATGTTAGGGAAATACATTTATCTTCTGGCCTTTTTTTTAATACAATGATGTTACTTTGGCTATCTTTTCATATTCGACTAAGGAGACTAAGTTCAATAATGATTTGCTGTGTCACTAAAGTTTTATTGTGATGGATCAGTGGAATAATAGCCCCTGCCTTCCAACCCCAATAGCATCCAATCCTTTCTGACTTCAATTTCTGTTGAAACCTTGACTTAGAGCCAAAACCATTGCAACTGAATTATTCATTTCCATCATCATTCTATCTTTCAAGTAATGAGTATTCGTTTTCTGTGATTGTCCTCTTAGCAGCATCTCAAATTTACACTATAACATATCAAAGGGGGAGTTCTAGAACTAGAATGGAGTTACTGGTTCCCACTGAGTTTTATAGAACACAAGTGAAGGGTCAAACCATGAATCTTATCTCATATATTAAAATAATTAATAGCAGATTTGTCCCCACCCTTTCACAATGGTGCCTCAGAATTGTTTCCTCTTTCTCTTAGGGGGCAGAATTATGAGTATAGTAATATTCATGTGCCTGAATTCTCCAGAATCCTTCAGCAGGGACATTTTAGCATAAAACATGCAAAAACACATTTCATACTTGCAGCCCTAGATTCCTGCATTGTAGTTAATTTATTTTTAAATTATTAACATGATTTATATACCATTCTAAAAGCTTTGAACTGTGTTCCAAAAAAAATCTGATATAAAAGCTACTTTCTATTTGTACACTGTCATAACAATGACAATCCTTGAGCAGAAAGTACATCAATGGCCCAATTAAAAAGAAAGGTCTTGGGAGATTCCCTAAACACCAAGAGTGAGAAAGTCAAGCATATCTCCAAGCGTAGCCCATTCAACAGGATGGAGCCTGCCTTCTGACCCATACCTATCTGTCTTCATATGGGTTGTGATCTTAAGGAGGAGCTCTTTGATCTGATGAACAAAGAAAAGAATTTTGGATAAGGAGGTCCCTGAGACAGCCCATTGAACCACTGGATTAAGAGCCTCTTACTAATAACAAATTACAAACATGGGGCTGATCAGAAGATCGATAGAAAATTTGTAAAAGGTTAAGCATAATAATTGCATATAAAGCTGTATAAAAAGCTTTTTTCTAGGCTCCAAAGTTCTGAAGGAGTACTATGATTTTTGGCCAGTTTCCCATAGTTAAATCCACATAACTGCATCATAAAAGGTTTTTAAGCATATTCCATATGCTTATCATATATTGAATGATTGTTTAGCAGAAAGGGGCATGGAAAAGCAGATTGTATAACAACCTTCCCCTTAGTTTAGCAGAACTTCATCAATGGAATATAGCAATGTTGACAAAAATTTAAACTGATTCAGCCACCTCACTCAAGCTAAGCAATACTCACCTGATTGAAGAAGAAAGCCTTCCCTTTAGGCTAACATAAGAGTGAAACTGTTGCTTCATCTACTTTTACTTTTCATCCATATAGTTACTAGTGCAAGATGGATCTACCTATCTGATATAAAATAATCCAGTCTTTTTTTGGCTCAACTCATTTCTCTTATCTAAAATACTATGTGTGTTTGGTTGCATCCTTATGAGTGCAACTGATGGGACCTGAGATCCAAAAGCCCTAAGAGTTCAACCATTAAATGGGACATTTATATCCTTGACCTTTTTGGTAGGGGATAATAGGTCATAGTTCTGGAGATGCTAGATTGGGTAAATCTGAAAAGTTCTGCATAATCCTTTCTAAACTGAACAGGAATATCAGTGAGTAGAATTTTCTTGGCTATATGTGACATCTATAGCAGCATCTGAAATTCTCTTTCTGTGAAAGTCCTTTTCCTTCCCTTTCCCTTTCTGATATTTGTGATGATGATACTGGAATATTGGTAAGTATTTTCTTAAGTAGAACTACAGAAGAATTTATACATGACTACTCATGTGGAATTCAAGTAGAAAGCCAAACTGAGCATTTTCTTTCAACAGAAAGCTCATGCAAAACAAATTTGCACTGAAGTGTGCTTTTTTGAAAGGGTACTTGGGTGAAGTGCAAGGAATATGAACAACACTTCTAACAGCTGAAAGGATGAAACTCGGTTGTAAACCCCACTAATACACGCAAGGTTAAAATAGAAGGTGGGAACATCCTTGATTTTGAAAGAAGTTGAGGTGAGATTTCTGAGTGGGTGATTATAAGCTTAGCGGGCCATGCTCTAGCTGGCCCATTAAATTGCACTACAGGTGTTACTGGTTCTTTTATCTCATCCTCAGATTATAAATCCTAGGACATAGAGACATCATTTTTAAAAAATTGAATTAAGATGAGTTAATGATGTGACTCATGCTGACTTGTGGGAGTGAATCAGCTGTCACTCAACACATAGTCACCCCAAAATAATACCCTGCCAAACATTGAGGTGTACAGCTTCATTTCAGAAAGGAAAGCCCATGTGCCTGTGTAACACAACATACATTATTCATCTTATCTTTTGATATCAGGTATTGCAGCTTTTAGAAGCCATTAAAAATGCCCAGGCAGTGTGCATTTTCTGTCAGTTGTATTTTTGGGTACAAACCACAGGACCATTTTTCATATTCCATCAGTAGGCCATTTTGCTTGCTTGCAGTATTACTTTTAACAGCCAATGATGTGCGTTTATTTTGAACCTGGTGGAGCTGAAATTTTTTGTAAGAATATAAAGAATGAAACTGAAGCATTTAGTCTGTCTTAACTATACTGTTTTCAGTGCTTTTTCACCAATGTGGTAGGACAGTATTTTCTGCAGGCTCCATTACTGTGCAAATTATCTGGTACTCAAATTTCACAGCCCGTGCTAATCCCACCTTTGAGGCATGGTACCAGGGAGGGGTAAGACTGGCAGCACGCATGAGTTGCAGGAGACGTGGCCATGAAGTCCCTTCATCTCTGTCAAGGTTCATTTTTAGAAACTGGTGTTTAAGCTAAAAGTGATGTGTGGGTGTTTCTCTGTGTGTTTGTGTGAGAGAGACATAGATTATTTTCCAAGGTAAAAGGCACTATGTCTTTCTGTTAGAATGACTGAAAGACACTTCTCTGACTTCCACATTGTATCCTGCAGGATTGAAACCACACACAGCCATTTAGGTAAATTAAGAGATTTTGGCAGGGATAATATTTTTTCCTTCTTTCTCTCCCCCCCCCCCCCATGCAATACATTTGATATGATTGAAAAGAATTTTAAGAGCTTATAAGTAATATATTTTAATTAATATATATTTTAATACCTCTATTTCAAGAATGATAAAAGATTTGTGAAATTGGTGTATGTATGTGTATGTGCGCAATTTTGAACGTGTTTCCCCCCCATTAGGGGACCTGGTAAGCACCCCAGGTTGCAATAAAAATTGAAGAACTGTTAAAAAAAAGGTGTCCCAGGAACTGTTTCATTTTTATAAGCCAAGAAGTGAGTAAAGATACCTTAGAGTGTACTGAACTTTAATTGTTGCCTTTTAAAAAGAAACTTAAATTGGAATTGAGAATACAGAGAAGTCAGGTTAAATGAGAAGTCATTTAAAAAGTCATATTTTTTCACAAATGATATAGAAAAATATTTTACTTAAAAAATTTAAGTATTTGAAATAAATATAGGTATGTAAATATACTGTATGTACTTCATATATTCTTTTATTTTACAATTTATTGTAAACAGATGGATATTAAAATTCTTTGAACTGGCTTGGTTGTAGATTCCAACTTTTGCAAAAGTAATGGTGAATTCTGTTGATTATGGCAACTTCACAGATGTTTTCACCAGTAAGTCTTTCCAATATGCTCCCTTTTCCCCATTTCTCTTTTGCTCCTTGCAGAATAGATGGAAAGAACCCAGAATCTTACATGGCCCTGTGAGGATAATCAAGAAATATAATTTAAGAAATATGATCAAAGTCGCATCAGAAAGTTTCAAAATGGAGTGAACTTCTCTTGGATTGATGATAGCAACAGTAATGGATAAGTTCGGACAATGCTTAAGAGTGTGCTAAGTAACTTAACCATAATGTTTTTGTTGGCTGCAATTTGTGGATAATTATTAAAGGGATCCACCATTATTTTACAGCAATCTAATCTTGACATTATGAATATATGGGGTACTAAGGCAAGACTATCTCTATTCAAAACAAATGGCAGCTGCCATGCTAGTCCAAAGTTTGCCTCAAAGTTTGCCTCAAGAGATTTTCTAATCTCTGCACCAATGCACTTTCTTCTCCAGAGCAGGTATGACTCACCTGTCCACCTGTCCACAAGACCTGTCCACAATCCTTCTGTCTTAGAAGGATTAATCTTTACTATGTTTGCCATCATGCAGCCCACCACTGTATCAGGATACAAGTCTCAACTGTGCACAACCACATCTGGCTCTATTGCAACAAATAGATACCATATAGATGAGAGAGAAAATGGCCCCTTGTAGAATCCTGCAGCATAATTGCCAAAAGACCAAAGCTCAGCCTCTCAATGTCTTTGTCATCTTACAGCTGTATGATTACAACATGTTCTAAATTGAAAATCAGAAGCTTCAGCTGGTGCACCAGGCACCAGTCTAGGTAATATGGGTAGTCAAAGTTTGTTCATATAGCACCACTACTATTGAGTGCAATGGTTTCCAATTAGCTTTTGGAATTGGTTATAACCTATAATTGTAAGTTCTCAGAGCCTCCAGAAAAGGAATAGTGTATAGAATATATAAATAAATAAGACTTGGTTTCTTGATGTAATTCTCAACAGTCACTCCAGCTTAGAGGAATAGAGTCATTTCAACCCATGTTTCATGGAGCTAATACTGAAATGTAGCAATAGCAATAGTACTTAGATTTATATACCACTTACAGCCCTCTCTAAGCGGTTTACAGGGTCAGCATATTGCCCCCAACAATTTGGGCCCTCATTTTACCAACCTTGGAAGGATGGAAGGCTGAGTCAACCTTTAGCCTGGTGAAATTTGAACTGCCAGATTCAGGCGGGCCAACAGCAGAAGTAGCCTGCAGTTCTGCACTCTAACCACTGCACCATGGTGGCTCTTGTACTATGATTGTTAGCATGAAAAGTATCATGATTGTTATCATGAAATTTTTCAGAGAGATGAATTGAGAGTTGCACATTCTTTGTCCCTTTCTTGGCAATAATTATCCATCAAAATGACAAGTTTATTTTGAAACTTGGCCTTAGTCCCTTTGAAATTAGAATCGGTATCCTCCAGTTTTGACCATCATCTCCTTTACAAGTACAAAATGTTCACATGAAAGTACATTCAGCAAAGCACGGAGATGAATGAGAAATGAAAGTGTCTTTGAAGCAGAATCCACCAAGAAGTTTTGAAGTCCAAGTATTCACTGGGACATTAGTACCCATTTCATTCCTGATGAATTGTTTTTTAAGTTGAATATTTGATGTACATTGCACATTTTCTCTAGCAAGCATCCATATCACTCTGCCTTCTCGGATTTCCCCTATAACTGTGGTGGTAAACCTATGGCACATGTGCCACAGGTTGCACGCAGAGCCATTTGTGTGGGCACGCGAGCCTCAGCCAAACTTACCTGCACTGCACATGTGTGTGCCTCCCAGCTGATTTTCGGCCCATTTGAGACCTTTTCCGGCCTCCCAGAGGCTTCAGGGAAGCTTCTGCAGCCTCAGGAGGCTGAAAAACGAGCCTTCCAGAAATACCAGAAGTGAAGAAATTGGAAGCAATGAAATGGGCCCATTTTTTGGCCTCCAAAGGCTGCAGAGGCTTCCCTCAAGCCCCCGGGAGGGCAAAAACGGCCTCCCCCGGGCTCCAGAGGCCCTCCAGAAGCTGAAAACAGGACTTCTGGTATTTCCAGAAGGTATGTTTTTCAGCCCCCCGAGGCTACAGAAGCTTCCCTTGAGCCTCTGGGGGCCCGAAAAAGGCCTCAAATGGGCCAAAAATCAGCTGGGAGGCACACACATCTGCAGTGCAGGTAATGGGGTGAGGGGAGTTGCATGCGCATGTGCAGGGGGGCGCATTGCATTGTGGGTGCCGGTATGCATGCACTTTTCGCACACCACAACAAAAAGGTTCACCATCACTATAACAATCCTGTGAGTTAGATTGGGATGAGAGAGAGTGCTTGGCCAAAATCACCCTCTGAATGTCCATGACTGAGGGTAGACATCAAACTTGGCCTTCCATGTTTTTGTTCAGGATTTTAAATTACTGTATTATTATGGTGCATTGTTCTATCTTAGATTTTGGGGTTCAAAATGTGTTTCATAGTATCCAAGGAACACTTTCATATAGGTGAAATTTTATCTCTATTCTCTTAATATGTTTACACCATCAAATTTCAACAACTAATTTTGAAAATGTTTCCTTATTTGCATATTCTAAGCACTCAAGGCAATTAACAAGATCTGAAACAGAATAAAAACAAAAAAGTAAAAAAAATGCAAATTAAAGTTGTCAAGACAAATGCTAAAATATTAAAGCCTATTAAAGAAGATTTAAAATTCACAGATTTAAAACACATACACACCCAGAAAGACAAACACAACTCTAAATGAATGTATTTCATAGCCTGATGGGAACACAAGAGAAGCTCCTCTGCCATATGTCCAGAAACTGATGCTTCTAACAGCGGGCGTATGCTCATAAGACCCACTCCTACAGCTCAAAACTGATAAAGGAAGGGGCTTTTCCTTAGATAGGCTTTAGACCATTTAGGGCTTTAAGGTTAATACCAATATCTAAAGCTGGCTATTGGTGCAGCTGTTTTAAGTGTAGGACTCATTTGAAAACTCCATACTCTGCACCAACCAATGGCAAAACTGCCTCATTTTGCACCAACTTTCAGAAATTTATCCTGCATAGCACCATATAAAGCACATTTCACTCTTCAAGACAGGATGCCATAAAGCATAGGTAACCTGCCAAATCCAACTGGTTCATGAAAGATCTTACCTGATGCTCAAAGTGTTCCTTACTACAGCTGTCACCTGTACAATATGTTGAATATGGTAGCTATATTTGAAAGAGTTCTATTTATTAGCATCACTTTTAACTTGGTTGGATTTCATTCCAGTTTAATTTTTCCCTCATATACAGTAGCCAATTTAGTCAATACTCAAGCATGCTGTTTGGGATGAGATGATAAGTAATGCAGCATAATTGGGCTTAATCCCATTCAAAGCTGTAGATGATCTCTGGAGCATATGAGAGCAGTTTCAGTATCATATATTTATTTTATTTTATCATATTTATTTTCTGCCAATCTGGTGGTTCAAGGCAATTTTGAGCTATCTCAGCTGACAGACTCTGAAATATCTCAGCTGAAGGACTAATTAAAATTGATCCAGAATGTAAATGAAATTCAAATGTATCTGAAAGGCCATCACTATTTCAATCCTCAAATAGAATATAAGTTTTTCTTTTTTTGAGAAACACCAATATAGAAGGCAGTGGGACAACTACAAAAAACCAACTGACGACTTCTGGCTGATGTTGCGGTGCTGTCGGATGTGACGAGTGGGTCTATGTGCTCCCATGCCGAGTTCTCCCTTTTGGAGGGTTCTGAAAGGAACTAAAGCCACCCAGTATGGGTGGTGAAGAAAAGGGGGGGGTGCGCTGCAGTTCGGGGAGACCAGCAACTCTCCTGCTGGACTTAGGACTTCTTTCCTTTCCCTCGATGAGAAGAGGCAGCCATCATGGCTGCCATGAAGCTGGCACAGCCAAGGCAACAAAGAATTGTGCAGGAGCAGTGTAGATGAAGAGTAATTGGAGCTGGTTGAGGAGATTCCTTTTTATTTAGACTAACTAAAGAAAAAAAGAAAGAAGAAAATCCAGGAAAAGAGACTCTTAGAACTATTTCTCAAAGCGGCAAACAATCATAGAAAAATCCTAGACCCGAAAGAAAGGAACTAAGGAGAGAAAAGGTAAAGACTTTTTAAAACATAGAAAATTGGATTCTTAAATTGGGCAGTCATTGTTTTGGAAAGGCATTATAAAATGCTGGAACTATCTACTTGAATCTACTTGAATAGCTGACTTTGTTTCCATAAATTGAACTACATTTGATTTAATCAAATCTATAAGACTTGAAACAACACTGAAACCTAAGCTGAGGGTGCCATCTACTGTTGAATGGAATATACCAGACCCCTACAAGTTTAGAAAAATATTTGATGTGAGAAATAACATTCATCTGGAGGACTGTGGTGATATTTCCTGTTCTCTAACTATCTACTTTATGATTACTGGAGACTGTTTTGTGAGAATAAGGAAAACTATGTAAAGTGACTTTTGATTTGCAGAAGCTGCCTGGACTACTTAAATGGAATTGATTAATAATCCTGAGATATAAAGAACTATGATTATTGAACTTTCTGAGGAGTAACATTGGACTGGAATATATTGGTTTTGGACAAGAATAAGAGCAGGACTTATTCAATTAAGA